TTTAAACAATTTTTTAAACATTTCATATAGGTGATAAACAGTAATGAGCCAGTCTAAGGACCAGATTTTGTTCCTCGTGTTCTCTTTTTAGTGGCTTCATTTTGATGAATATTCCAAATACAGTATGTATCACCACATGGAGTTCTTAAGATAAACGTTAAAGTAGCTCCTAATAAAGTTAATGGCAAGTAGTTTTTTATCAAACACTTAAATCTTTTGTTTGCAAATGACATTGGTATTGACAACTTGCAAACAAAAGAAGCTCTCTCTCTCTCGTGTTGCTTACTCTTTTTCGTCAGATAACATTCCTCAGGCTTTTGTTTCACATACTGAAGCCACCAACAACAATCTGATCTCTCTGGCACGGATGTTTACAGCACTCCGCTCCTGTGCTTTGGCCAGTGCACTTTTCTTCTGCTTCCTGTCTGTCAGGGTGGAAGGAACAACAACCCTTCACAGCGATCCTGATTACAATGCATGAGGGCACACAGTACATGGTATGGATAAGAGCGGCAGTCTAATGGAGCGCCACAGAGTAAAATCCGAGGGGGCTTTGAAACCTGGCAGGGGAGAAGAAGAGAGCTTTTTGTCTGCGCCGACCCAGTTGAGTGATACTTGCTCCCTGATGCAAAAAACACACGACAGCGAAAGCAAGGCGGTTTAAAGCCGTCATTGTCTGTGTCGGCAGGGACCGATATTGTATTTCAATAGAGCTGTGAGTCCAAGCCACACAGAGCTCAGAAAGGAGAAAGAGCCTTTCTCGATCCGCGTGGCTGATAGTGCCCGACAACTGCGCCCATTTGCACTCTTTCTGTCTTTCTTTCTTCTTTTGGCCCTTCTCACTCCCTCTTTCGGACTCCCTTTTCGCTCACAAAAGTCCAGACAGAGGTTCCAAAACGTACCCCAACTTTCCTGAGGCCCAATGGTGTTTTTCTTGGGATATGTGAGGGCTGAAAACTTGAAGGACAATCTTTTTCCAAGTACATATTTTCTTTCCATATTCACTAGTTACTAATGAGACTAGAAAAAAGTACAACTTGGGTAGAAAAGGTTCATATTAGTATCTTATCTCATTATTTTCTTAAACCAGTGTTTTTGTGCATGTGCTCAAAAGCTGTAATTACAGAAATGTTAATGCAAACACAAGATTGTACCATCTCATTGCAAACATCTAGAATCAGCACTGCTCTCAGCCAAATAGTCCATCCAGCAATTACATCAATTCATACGCAAACCCTGTGGGCGCACCCCACGCTGTTTCTACAAAACCCCCACCAACTAACAAGAGAATTAAAACTTTACAACCCAGCCAAATCATCTCACCTCAGCCAAGTTCAAAATCAAAGTATGTTTAAACCCACTTCATCATTGCAAGTTAAACCTGCAAGAAACAGCTCTGCCAAGAAGCCATACAACTCTTTGTTTCCCGGTTTTAGTGGTTTGATGTTTCACAACAGTGAAATTGCTATTTGAACAACCTAAAATAGTGCACACATGGGGTCCTCAGCACCCATTTTGTCTGACAACATTTCTGCTGGTCTGTGTTTAATGTTGCTTGGAAATACTGAAGGAAATAATGGCTAAAGTACAGTACTTTTAAAATATAGCTTGTGAAGCAACAAACTAAAGACTATTTAAAATGGTTCAGTTTTAGTCAAGCCACCCATTAAATCAATCGATAAATAAATATTTAGCCACACTACAACCTAGAACTTTCAAAATTGTTTCCAAGCAAATACAAACTATACTGTAACTACATTGAATCTGTTTAAGGGAACCAAATCTTGTATAACTAAAGATGACAGTCTAAAAATAGAGTACATTTTAAAGCTGTGAAATCACTGAAATATACATTTTGAATTTAGCAAATTTAGGTCAAAAATTTAAAAAAAAAGGTTAAAAAAAAATCACTGTTTCCACAAAATATTAAGCAGCACAACCGTTTTCAACATTGATTATAATTAAATTGTTTCTTGTGCACTAAATCAGCATATCAGAATGATTTAAGAAGGATCATGTGACATGAAGACTGGAGTAATGCCTGCTTTGCCGTCACAGGAACAACTGTATTACTGTTTTACTGTATTATTCATAAATAAATGAATACTGAAACTTATCTTTAGAATTGTGTTTTGGAGTTTCTCTGATTCACATTTTTGTTTACTTTGCAAAACTGCAGCATTAAAGCATGAGAACATCTGAGGTCATGCTACTATTCTTGATTATTCATCAACTTCATGTTCTAATGCTTAATTATGACGCAACTTGACATGACTGAGAGACCAGCTATTGGATGCATTTAATTAAGGCTTTGCAGTGCACATAAGGAGCCTTTGCTGTATTTGAGGTGCTGGTAAACGTCTAGTAGTGAAGGAATCTCACCTCTGCTGGTTTCTCTCTGTCTCCTTGTGCATTGCCTCTTCGTAAGTTGATGATGTGCACCTCCTGAGGGAGGCTGGTGGTTCCTCGGCTAGCGCAGCCTGATAGGGCAGTAAAACTCTTTAACATGGCCTGAACTGGGTGACCCACCCCAACTGGCAAAAGTTCACAAGGGCTCCGAGACAATGGACCTGCAAATAATACAAAAACATGAATAAACACACACTCTGCCTCATTAATCTGCATAAAGATTTTTTACAAAGAACTCTGTTAAGTCATTTCAAATCCATGCCACAAGTATGTAAGAGCTCAAAGCATCCTATATGACTTTGTGCAAGCCAATTATGATAAAAAACCTTTAGCAACAACTCAAACAACTCAAACAACATTGCAATATAATCACTTTGCAAATTTCATAACCTGCCCCAGCATAACAGTGTGCTGTTGAGAACAAGCACAGTTCAGAACATGACAGATTCATTAAATATGGTTACTAATATAAAACATAAACCCAACACATTTACTGAATTTGACATCATGAGAGTATCATTCTGCTACTGAAAAAAAAATCTAATACAAAATAATTCATACACTTTATATGGTGGAATTGAGTTATAGTTCAATTTCACTGCATTAAAGTAATAAATTATATATATATATATATATATATATATATATAGGGATGGGTATCGTTAAGGTTTTAATGGTATTACTACTCTTATAGATACTGCTTAT